AAATCCACGATATCTCGCTTAATATCGCTTCCACCCCAAACGCACTACTAACGAAATTGATTGAAAATCAAATTTAGGAAATCTTTCGTCCCATACAAGTTTTCGATACGATCGATGATAACCGAGATTACGAGCATATTAGTTGAAACGATATACTGCCGGCACGAGAGACTTGAACGCGTGGTAAGAGCGCGTCTCCGAGCCTAATTAGGCGCCTTGTTTGAATCGATGTCACAGTAAACGGTGGAGAAAGACTCACCAGATAGACCAACATGCTCTTTCGTTGTATTTCGCGGCTACTGGAAGGTTACGAAGCCGAATTGTGGACGTCGCAAGGAGAACGTCTTTCACTGGCGATCTTTCACTGTTATGTCGGCTGGATCGACGCTTTCGGACTTTTATATGGGACGATAGAGGGGAAAAGGAGCATCCTCGATCTTCTTTCTTCGCCTGTTCAATCATCGATCGGTCGATCCTCGTCCACAGGACTACGTAACCCTGATCTTATTACGATTAACGGCGTCCATTGCTTTTTCGCCTTGATGGAAAGCGAAATTTACGCTGAGAGAATTTATTCTTCACTTTATTTATTTTTTATTCTAGTTAAGGGGGACACGTTCCGTTTTCTATGTAACATTTGACATCTTTCGGTGGTACATGTTTCTCAGCTATGCTTTATCGAAACGTACCAAACTTTTTTTTTAGGTTGTTTCACAAAGTCTAAACTACAAAACAGCGGTGAGTTTATTTCAAAAAACATTCTTAATAAAAAAAAAGACAACAGAACGACTTTGAAAAAGAAGTTTGTTGCGTGTTTTATTCATCCTCTTTTTATTTTTTATTTCGTTAACTAAATACAAATTGGACAATCCGCCACCGCTGTTATCTAGATAAGGCGATTCTGCGTAGGTAAAATGTAGCCTGAGTAATTGGTACCGAAAGACCATAAATTACGATTTTTCAGAAAACGCAAAAAACGAAAACAAGGCGTTCTTTTTTCTTATCTTTATTTTCTATTTGTCTTTGGGCCCCTCCAACACCAATAGAAGAAATACCAATTATTTATCTATTTAGTACTGTCAGTGATTTCAGTCTAAAAATAATAAACAAAAGCATTGTACTAATATCAAAAAACATGTGAAAATTTTTGTTTTAAAAATTTTTTTGCCATTTCTAACTATCGAATAATTATAAAATTACCATCAATAGATCCGGAAAAGGCTAAATTTTAATAAAAAAAAATGTTCAAAAATCGTTTTTCTTTTCAAAGAATTTTGAAACTGTCTTTAGAGTTGAGATTTCATAAATGGACCGAATCGAAAGTTAAAAACGCCGGTTATAACTTACTTCTTCAGAAAGTAGATGAAATATGTACAGTAGTGCGAAATCAAATTATTATTGAAGAGCGGAAATCAGAATAATCAACTTACAGTGGAATCATTTATTACTTGAATAACTGTTATAAGAACTTTAAAAATTGTATTTTCTCTCGTATATCAAAATGGTAACAGAGTGTTTTCAATATAGAATTCTTCTATAGCTATTTACTCGCTTAATTTTCATTTATTATCGAAGAAGAAAAATTCTTTCCAATGGTACTTCACTCGCTCAAATAATATTTATTTATTTATCCAAAGAAAATATTACATAGACATGTATATATGTAATAAACACAGGGACAGTCTAGCTGCTTATGAATGGTTCTGATTAATTAAAAACAACTCGAATATAACCTAAAGCTAGACTTAAAATTAATTTGACTAATTGATTTTATGTATTCTGTGATAGTTGATGGTAATTCATTTCTGGCAAAATTTAATTCGTTACAGATTCGGTGCGAGCAAGATTAACGATATAATAAACTTATATAATGAATTCTTATTTATGCTTAAAGAGTATATAATTAATTTTATTCTTCCAAACAATTATACATTTAATTCTCAATTTTCAACTATTGGATTTCATCCGTATTTTAAATTTCTTTTTTTTTTTTCATAGTTTCTTCAGTGTATTCTATAGTTTCAAATACAGATATTGTTTCTCTCATATTAATTATATTATCGCTAGTGTATCCAATAATTTGTAACTCTCGGTTCAAGGTTAGCATTACGTTGCAAGAATGGTGAAATGTGTGTGGACTGCATAAAGAGCTCTGAATAATAATCAACTCTGAAGAGATTACTTTCACGAAACCATGAAAGGAATTTTATACATTTTGTGTTACAAATTTAGGCATTCCAACGTATGTAGATTTGGAGTGAAAGAGAAAAGAAAGCTATTTTATATCTGTGACGTTGTTCACGATGGCAAAGAAAAGAACCCAAAATTATAATAAACAAGATACGCTAAGCGTAAAAGAACAGATATCGTAACCGATATACTGTAATAAATATATACAGAAATCTTACAAAAAAAAAAATATCTGCAATCTATGTCGCTCATTATAATACGCCCATCGACGAAAGCATGCAGCGACGAAAACACGACACTGACGCTTCGTGGACCCCACGTCCATTCTTCTTTTATGTTTGTCGTGGCAATGAAGCGTACAGTAAGCGTAAAGTAATTCATACGTGCCGATGCAGCAACGCCTCTGTGTGCAGTGAGTCTTAAATCTACTTTTTTTATTTTAAACTCTACTTTTTTGATTTTAAACTCCAATGAAGGGGTTTATATTAGAATTAACGACCTTCTATTATAGATCAATGAATTTGTCTACGCAAATGCTACAATACTATGGATACAAATATCTAAAGTTCTATTTTCAAAAATTATTTCGTTCGTTAAATCTCCCTTACCAATTCATTTACAAAAAAATTGTTTACACCTCGTAATTTGCTCCTCTGTACCACCATAACTTTTGTAAAAATATTTTTTCGATAGCTCCATCCTCCTACGAGATATTGAACCCTCCCATTACACAAACTGATCAACTCCGAACAAATAAAACTATTCCACAATAAATTACGAACAAAAGTAGTTGATATCAACGTTACGTATAAACATTATTTCTACAATTTTAAAATTACTCCAGAATGAAAGTAGCGTATGAAGCGCGAAATAAATAAAATTTGCCATTGAATTTTCGTAGAAAAATTATGTCAACTATTTTCTCTTACGTGTATGAAAAATTGATTAGATAAAAGTTGTGATTATTAAAAGCGATACAATTTGGTACGTTCTTAATTGATATCGGGAAAGTTTCTTTTTTTTTTTTTTCGCTAACGTTGCCAACTGTCTTCGTTTCGATATTATCATGACGGTTCGCCGAGGTCCAACAATTTATGCTCGGTGCGATTTATTCTGAATTTTAAATCAAACGTTGGCAGTCACTGAATTCTGTGCCACAACGTATCCTTCCAAATGTGGAAAGGTATGTTGTAGTAACACGGTATTATCATTCTACCGGCATAGTAAATTTAACAGATATGCTAATTTATCGAGTGGTACCCTATCAACGATGCATTTTTTAAACCCTTGTGCTGCAATTTGTAGCAATATATCAACGATTGCAATATGTATAATTGCTAATACAAAGATCTTTATTTAAAACTGGTATAACGTAAAAGTTCAAGATAATTGAATTTAATACGCGAAATAAAAATATGATACGATATCATAAATAGAAAATGTGATATACACATTTAAAGGAATGAAGATAATTTATATTGAAAACGTCACTTAGGAAACATATTCAATGGGTGGACGTCGATTTTGTTTAAATTTACGTGGGAGGTAGTTCTCAATAAAAATATTTGCAATCGTCCATATTGAACGGATGAAAACAGCTCCTAAAATGAGTGGTGTAAACCACGCTTTTTTAAACAACTTGAAAACTAGAGGAGCTAGGACAAAATTAATTTTTTTTAGATTATGCGTTTTTCAACGAGAAAGTTTAAGACTTGGAAGGTTCATACCAGTTCGTACTTAAACGTATCGAAACGACCTATAAGTACATCTGTTTAAATTAGAGTTACAAATCACTGAATACAAAGGCAAGGAATTAATGTCTACGTAGCAAGAAATGCGAATAAATGAAACGAATAAAAATCAATAAAAAAAACGTGACCGATATTAATACAGCGTTGCATCGAGCACCAACCAGGTAAGTTAAAATTCGCGTGCAGCAGTTAAAGGCCCCAAGGGAAGTCACGTTAAAACGAAACACCGCCGTCGCTATTATCGCTCGGGGATTACACGAAATCTCGATTACATCAAAGCTTGTTAGGTAATCGGTGCGGATGCGCCACCGAGAAATTCTCGCGAAGGTTTCGTTTGTTCTGAGTCACGATCGAGTCGTACGAATGACTCGTTCGTACGGATTCAACGATTTGGATCCTGGTAAGGTTACGAGAGGGACGTCCTTGATATCGGTCTGAATTCTTCCGGACGCATTCAGGCATTTTCACCCGTAACGTATATCCAGAGCCGGGAGACGGGTAAAATGAAGACGAGCGAAAGTGTGCCCGGTAAGGTGGCCCTCACAGTGAAAGTCAAACTAATTACGAGACAGGCACGGGCACGTAAGATGTTCGGAGAGCTAGCGTTGCAAAACAATCCTCTTCGCTACGAATATTAACCCGGAACACCTGCCGCTTTCCACTGGCCGAGCGAATACCTTCCCGTCCGTACTCACGACATGGCGATAAGCGATGTCCTAAAATTGGCTCGCGTTCGTCTTTTGCGACCGTACCGACTGCTACCCGAAATCACGGATACGTTTCCTATACCACGATCGCTAACGCAGTCTCGATACGTCGCCTCAAGAATTACGTACAATAGAAAGGTAAAAACCTTAGGCTTCGAATAAATCTGAAGTTTGCCGATGTGTTTGTCTCGTTTCCTTCTTTGGAAAATATTCAAAACTTATTCCAGCTCTTCCAATATCATGTTCTTATAATATCAAAAGTAAAATTCGAGCCAAATTCGATTGAAGCCACCTCCTCGTTCGTCATGATCTCCTCATACAAAACGTAAGTTTCAAGCAAAAAATAAAAATTATGATACCAACTCGCACATTACGTTCTCCTGATACAAGAGGTAAGTATCGATATTTTATTAAAAGTTATGCTACTTCTTTGAGTATCATGTCCTCCCGATACTGAAATGTAACATTTCCTCAGAATTTCGATTCGTACCATATATTCCTCGTGCCACCTCTTCGCACAGGAGCACATGAACGAAACGTACAGAAAATTAGCCCCTTGCATTAGGCAACCTGTACTAACAGATATGTCGGACCGGTTACCTGATCGTAGGCGCAAACGTGCCAACTCTTCGCACATGATGTGCTC